ATATATATATATATATATATATATATATATATATATATTTATTTATATTTATTTATTTATATTTATATTTATTTATATTTATTTATATTATCTTTTTTAGGAGTATTTGAAGCTGCCTGGATTGGAGCAGCAGGAGGGTGCAGCAGCAGCAGCAGCAACAGCAGCAGCAGATCATCAGCAGCAGCAGCAGCAGGCGGGTATATTTGAGGCAGCAGAAGCAGCAGCAGCAGCAGCAGCAGCAGCAGATGCAGCAAAAGGAAGAACAAGAGATGTATCTGTCTCCTTTATGCCTGAGCCTTCCTTTATCCCTTCAAGCGAAGAAGCAGCAGCAGCAGCAGCAGCAGATGAAGCAGCAGCAGCAGCAGCAGCAGGAGGAGCAGCAGCAGCAGCAGCAGAAACACAAGAAGATGCGCATGCAGTAAATATACACTTCTTTGTCTTTCTCTGTCTCCTTTTTTTTTCTTTCTTTTTTTTTGTCTCCTTCTCTGTTTGTCTCTGTTTGTCTCCTTTTCTTTATTTATTTTTTTCTGTCTCTCTTTTTTTTTGTTTGTCTTTGTCTTTGTTTTGTTTTGTTTTTGTTTTTTTTTTCTGTCTATATATTTGTTTTTCTTTCTGTCTCTATCTTTGTTTGTCTCTGTCTCCTTTTGTCTCTGTCTCTTTATTTATTTCTTTTTATATTTTTGTTTGTCTCTGTCTCTCTATATTTGTTTTTTTCTGTTTTTGTTTGTTTTGGTTTCTCTCTCTTTACATTTTTCTTTTTAATTTTTATTTTTATATATTTCTGTTTTTTTTGTTTTTTTTGTTTTTTTGTCTTTTGTTTCTCTTATTGCTTCTATGCGCTCTTCGTTCTTTTCCTTATTCTTTTTTGGTTACTTTATTTATTTACTTTATTTATTTACTTTATTTACTTATTTTGTTTATTTATTTTATTTATTTATTTTATTTATTTTATTTGTTTTGCGTTTGTATTTGTTTGTTTGTGTTTGTTGTCACAAATAAATAAAGGAATAAAAATAAATAAATAAATAAATAAAATAAATATATAAAATATATTATATAAATAAATAAATAAATAAAAGCCTAAATAAAAAAAACAAATAAATAGCAAAATAAATAAAATAACAAATAAATAAATAAACAAATAATAAATAAATAAATAAATAAAAATAAATAAATAAATAAATAAACAAAAATAAATAAATAAATAAATAAAAATAAATAAATAAACTTGTTTGTTTGTGTGTGTATAGAGCTGCGAATGGGGGGCCCCCCCTGCTGCTGCTCATTATAGTGGATATGCCTTTAGTGAGGCCGATCCAGCATTTGTAAGGATGCTGCACAAAGAAGAGAGAGAAACAAAGAAAAAAAAACAAAAAAAAATAAATAAAATAAATAAAATAAATAATAAATATAATAATACTCATCAGCAGCGTTTACACGCGAAAAAACGACATCTGGGGGATAGCAGCAGCAGCAGCAGCAACAGCAGCAACAGCAGCAGCAGCAGCAGCAGGAACAGCAGCAGCAACATAAACAGCAATAGCAGAAGGAGCAGCAGCAGATACAGATACAGCAGCAACAACAGCAGCAACCGCAACCGCAGCAACAGCAGCAACAGCAGCAGCAGCAGCAACAATAATAATATACATATAAACACAAACAGCAGCAGACACAGCAGCAGCAACATACCTATACATACACAAAGACCCTTTGCTTTATCTTCTCCTAGTCATAGTGAGCTCAGCAACTAGGGTTTAGGGTTTAGGGTTTAGGGTTTAGGGTTTAGGGTTTAGGGTTTAGGGTTTTTGTCAAAACCCCAAATCAACCAAAGACAAACTCTTAAAAAAACAAACCCTCAATTGTTTTCTACGCATTTTCGTTTGCTGCTGCTGTTGCTGCTGCTGCTGTTGCTGTTGCTGCTGCTGCTGTTGCTGCTGCTGCTGTTGCTGC